ACGTAACACGGTATGACTCTTGGCAAAAAGACTTTGACGAACAGCCTAGTGCATCAGCGCTAAAAGCTTGACCCTGCAGATTGCCCATGAGTTGGACATACGCAAATGGCACAGTTTGACGACGGGGGGGGGGGGCATTTTGCACTTTCGCTACTTCCCATCGACGTGTCGACCTATCTAGGCAGCCTCTTCTCGAGTTGACAGGTTTTACCATGATGGCTAGATGAGCTTGCTCCAGCTTCACAAGAGTTCACAGGTTTCGCCAGAGTGAGACTTGTAAACCGGAACTAGGGAAGCAATGATAGTACAAAATGCCCCCCCCGTCGTCAAACTGCGCCTAAGCAATCTTTAAATGCGTAAATTGATGTGCAGTTTATTTCCGCTAGTTCAAGGCATCTATTTTGATAAGCAAAGTGAAGAGCAATACTAGAAGGAGGATGAGTTGATGAAGTTGAGTATAACTCACATTTACTATGATAACGTCGCGATTTGGCGCTTCGGTGACGCCAAAGCCCCATGAGGTGCCTCGATCGCCTCTTGCCATTCGCACCGTCACTGTCTCCATGATGACCGCTTCTGGTATGGGCGCTGTCGCTTGACGTGGATACGCTGTAGATTATCAGGCGTGAAACGCGAAATCTGAGCAGCCGTCGAGAGCCAGGCGATCTTCCGATAAGGGGGCGTTGAAACCTCCAGCCGCCCCTCTCTGCACTCCTCCCTCCCTCCCACCATCCGCAAATCCCCGGGCAGATTATTGATCCTCGCACTCTCACACTGCCGATCATCCATGTGCAATATCCGAAATTACAGCCTTCGTCTAAGCGGAGAGATCGATCATACTGAACATTGAACGTACTATGGCTATGGAACACCAGGAGACTTCCATCTACACTTGCACCCACACTGTCTGGTGATGAACCCATTTTCTATTTTTACGCTTGAGTACGCGTTGTACGAGTAGAGCTGTGCGAATGGAGTTTTTCCTACCAGTTGTATTCAACGCTCCATGCTTCGTTTTTCCGTCAGACAGAGAGCGATTGGGAGGGTCCGCTTGCACTTTCAATGAATCTAGTACTGATCGAGAAAACGGTCTGCGATCATGCAGAGCCATTTCGCAGAGAATTCTCCCGCTCTGAGTGCTTCGGATCGTCTCTGACCCCCATACGAGGAGTGGTCTCTGACCATCTAACAGGGAGTACCAAACACAAACCTTCAGAATCCCAGATAAAGACTTCCGTTCATAAACATTCAGTTCTAGTATAAACACAGAAGAAGTCGTGCCAACTTTGCAACAATTTCAGTCCCGATCTGCTCTGCTATAG